TGGCTCAAACAAATCTTCCGGTTCGTCGAATCGTGGCACCAACGAACAGGATGCGTCGGTTTTTAATTACGTACTGTAGAAATTGCAATGAAATTGTGTTTATTCTTTTTATATACAAGTACATACACACATAATTATACATAAATACATTACATGCATACATACATAATTTTGGATAAAATTTGGAGAATTTAGTAACCACAATGATAATAAAAATAATTAAATACAATATAACGATAATCAAAAAAATTAAATAAAAAAATAAAAAAAAATTTAAACGATTTATCATTTGCCATTCTTTTCTGAGATTTAACATAACTAACGTTGGTACTAAGTGGAAGTTAAGTATGGATAAAATGGATTTTTAGATGCATAATGTTAAAAATTTTGGTAATTGCTTTTAAATTGCAATAGTAATCTACTGACTTTTTTACAAAAGGTTGATTTTCAAAATATGTCCGATAGGGTATTCTATAACTAGTATGTAGTAGTATATTTATTTATGGTAACGCTATATTAATATGGAGGAACATGAACAGAATTGCGGCACGAAGGTCATGCGTCAGGGTGTTAGATTGCATTCATGTAAGCGTTTAAAATTTTCGTTAGGCCATAGGAAGCTTGACAATCAATCTTTAAAAAAAGAGGACAAACCCTACTGGAATGTATGGGGTCGAGATCACAAGCTGTGTAATATGTATGGTATGTAATGGTATGTAACTTTTTGATTATTTAATTAATATTTTCGTGGTAACAATTTTCAGGTTCTCGCATTTGTTTTGCAGCTTCTGGATCTCGTATTAGCTTTGTGACCAGAATACTGCACAAACTGACAAAGTTAGTGCGCTTCTTTTTAACACCAGCGTTGAAGTTTGGGTAGCCACCGGGATGGCGAAAGCCTCCAAAGCCATAGAAGCCGACAGAATGCTGATGTTGAAAAACTTGGTTTTTATCGTCCGATAACTCTCCTTTCCCCAGTAGCGAAGACACTTGAGGCTCTGCTATTCCCGCACTACACGAACCACCTGACTCTTGGGGGACACGTTCCCACGACAGTCGGGTCTACGTAACCGGAACGACCCAGATTTATATCTGGCCAAGGACTGTCACTCCAGCAACACTCCCCAAAAAGTCTTTGGGGAATTTGTATGCTGCTACAACAACAACCACTCTTGGGGGACATCAACATGGGTTCCGCAAAGTGCACAGTATGACAACAGCACTTAACCCTCACTCACACTCAGATAACTCGTGACCTAAACCGTAACCGCCCCTGTAAGAGCGTTGATGATATTTAGGCTTCCTCTCCCCCAAGAGGACTCAAACGGTGGTCGACGAATTATCAGAGTGGTCGATATTCGTCAGTAATTTTTAGAGACAAAACCAGCAAACTGAGAAAAATTAAAGGGGGTTCCCCCAAAATTGTGTCTTTTCCTCGCTGCTGTTTAATTACTATACATTAAAGCTCCCTCAACCAACAAGGGAGTGTCGATTGTCTCTTATGCTGACGACTGCTCGATAATGGCGTCTGCGAATGCAATTGATGACTTGTGCTCGAAAGTAAACGGCTACCTCTCCGGACTTTCTCGCTTCTTCACTGCAAGGAGCCTAACCCTCTCCCCTACGAAATCCTGGGCAATCCTCTTTATAACCTGGACGATGGAGGTCAGACTGCAACTGGGTATTCGCGTCGATGGCGAACCAATTCCGACCGTGGATAACCCGAAAATCGTCGGAGTTACCTTCTGATGTTGCCTCAACACCATCTGCACGACGAGGCCCAGATGCTCCCCATTAAGGAGCATAACACAATGCTCTGCAAGCAGTTCCTAGTAGAGCGCCACAGACGCACAGGGAGCCGGTCCTGAGTTATATAGACTCTCGACCTATGAATGCCGTTTTGGGCACACAACAACCCGACGTGGACAGAACAGAACTTTGTCTGCCTCGGGAGACTCGCACCACAATAGCCCAACTGCGCTCTGGATATTGCAGCAGGCTACACTCGAATCTCAGCAGAGTGAACGAAGATGTGGCCCAACGAGAGCCGGCATGCGGAGAGTCGCCACATGACTCACGGCACCTCTTCGCATGCCCCCGAAACCCCACCAGCTAACGCCCCTGTCCCTATGGGCAGACACTATGGAAGTTTCGCCCTTCCCGGGCCTCCATCTAGCTGAGCCTGACGACAACTTTTACGGATGAGCCGACCCGAGCGGGGATTAGTAGCCGTTACAACAACAACAACTACAAATGTGGTATTTTCTTCCCATAATGCTTTACTTCCATATCTCATAGGTTCCTCAGCCACTGGAGGCAGTTTCTTTGATCTCATATGCTCACGACTGCCGCACTGCCACAGACGTGAGCACTGGAGAAAGAGGTCCGTCCAGGCACGTCAGAAGGAATATTTGTGAATATATGAACGTGGTCCGGATCTCCTTCCAACAACCTTTGGATCCGACGAGAGATCAACGGTATTCATAGAGTCGGCCAGTATCTACCATGACTCTTGACTTATAAATGGCGTGATTGGAGCCCAATTCCCACACATTGGAGACACAGAGCTTCTAATGCCACGGGAAACCCGCTTTACTCTGGCCCCAATTACGGTCTGGATATTACAGTCGCTTAAACAGCTACTTATCCAGACCCGATCCCGATATTACCAATGAGTGTCCGGCATGCGGAGTCGCATTGGTGTCCCCATGACACCAACCACTTCCTCACAGATCAGCTCATTCCTAGTCATCTAACGCCCCTCTTCTTTGGTGGTGCCGCTACAACAACAACAATGAGCATATAAGCGTAAGAGGATTGCCTTCCGGCGAATTTTACAAAAAACACCCATTGTGCCCTGTGTTCGCGGGTTAGTTTGTGTGCAGGTTTGACGGTCACAGTATTATAGCGTCAACTTGGACGGATTGACCATGTGATCCCGGACGCACTTTGGAAGGAACTTCGAGGCCACCATAGAGGTCAAAGAAATGCTGGCGTGAAGGCATGCGGAGTGCTGGCTCGGTGAATATCTACACCGATGGATCCAAGATGGGGAAAGACGTAGGGGCGGCAGTTGTATGCTCGGAGCTCCACCTAAACAAATCTTATAAGTTGCTAAACTATTACAGCATTTTCTCGACGGAGGTATTAATCATAGGGAACTTCGGAGTGCAGGGCAGCTCTGAATATGCTACATACCAATAGTGACGTACATATGTACTGCGTTCCGGGGCACATCGGCATCGCGGGCAACGAGAATGCCGACAGGCTTGCCACAGAGGGTGCTTTGTCGGAAACCATGCTGATAGAGGAGGTGCCGATTTTCCTCCAAGCGATTAAACGGGAACTCGACCTGTGCATGTTCCGGAAGGTGCAGAAGGCGTTGAACAAAACGAAAGCTGCAGGGTGTCCAGGATTACGTGCAGAGCATATGATATGAAGTTGAAGAAGTTTCTCCTTTCCCTCAAGATGAAGGACATTAGGCTGCTGGTGAGTGTTCTAACTGGTACTCATGCCTTAAAACTGGCTCTGACTAACCGTAAGATCTGTAGAAGATGCAGAACGAAGAAGAATACAGCGGAGCATATCCTCTCCGAGAGTTCTGCCCTTAGAAGACTGCGGGGTAGTCTACACGACACGAAGGGGATGGAGCTTTAATTTAGGGGGTCACCGAAGACTGCAGTGTTTGTTTATCATGGAGGCAGCTGCAACTGGGTGTCTGCCTTGGAGCACGCGAATCACTTCATAAAAGTGTCTTTAAAAATTTCCCCAGTTGGTTGTACGTCTGGTTTGGGACTTGGCACGTAAAACAAACTTCCAATGAATATAACAACATTGCCTCCCTCCCATGCAGGGTTGCCAGGTGTCACTCTGCAGGTGGTTGATGTTCTCGGAGTAAGGCAGAAAAACCACACGTCCTCGCGACGGCTACCACATCTGCATGAAAAGGAGTGTAAATTCGTTGTTGGATTTGTGATCAGAGAAAGAGAGACTTCGTCGACCTCGACATCTCGATTATTCTACTGGGTGAGCGTTAAAGTGAGATACTTCAAGTTCGCGCTCATTCTCGCCTACGCCTACGACGGAAGAGAAGGACGAGCCTTCCAAGGATCTCTTCTATGAACGCTTGGAACACACGTAAGGGTGCTACCCTCGTCACGATATCAAACTCGTGCTCGGCGATTTTAATGACAGAGTGAACAAGGAATGCATTTTTGGTTCCACCGTCGGCAAATTCAACCTCCACGACGAAACATCCGATAATATACGGAGGCTGATTGATTTCGCTGGTGCCCAAAACATTGCAGTATGTGGAACTGGGGTTCCAGCATAAAAAGGTCGATCCAGTTGTCTCCAGATCGAAAAACGAGAAACTAAAACGACCGTGTTGTGATAGAATGAAGACACGCTTCTAGTGTTTTAGCTGTACGTACACCCCGAGTGAAAAACATCGACTCGGATCATTATTTTGTCAAAGCTAAGTTATGTCCACGCCTATGTGCAGCAAACATTTTGCGTCCAGTATTGTAAGGAAAGCTCAACGTCGGAAAGTTGAATTCATAAAAAAACGCCAATATCTTCGCCACTTCATACACATACCTGCTCTCAGAGAGAGAGAGAGGGAGAATAAGATTTCAAAACCAGTGCGAATTTTTGTAAATTATAGATATACTACTTTTTACACTGTTGAATGGTATCAGTACTGAAACCAGTGGAGAATATGAACCTGATCCCCCAGCTTAACAATGTGGCTTTAGGAATTAAAAAGTGATTTTATTTTATTTAACGGATACCAAACTTTTGTTACCCGCGCAGAATAACCTGTTAAACGAAACTAACAGCACGGCATTAGCAAAGCACTTACCCTAAGCTGAGAGTGCTATAGTTATTTGTCGGAGTGTATGCTTGCATAAGAGTTTATCAATAGTTACGTCAAATATGATTGTATAAAGTCCCATTATTCGAACTGAACAAATCCACAATTGTGGACAAACTTTTCATTGATTATCTTTTCTCTGGAGACGTTTTGATTTTTGGCAAGAGTCTAGTGATGATTTTGCTCCAGCAACTCAACTTTAAATATGATGCTGCTTCATTTGTTAGCATTTTTTATATATGTACATGCTTGTTTGTTATTTTAACTGATTAACGCCTTCTTGATGGATCGCATCGAGCTTTTTTGTATGAGCCTATACGTACATACATACATATCCATATACTTACTCACAATACTGTTGGCTACTAGTTAATATAGAAGATCTACGTATTCTGTCGTCATTTCAAACTGAGTATTTGAGATCGCAGGTCGTGACGAGATTTTTGAGTGTTTGGGATTAAGGAAAAAAATCTAAAAATTTGGCTGTGCTACTGCAATTTATAGCAGTTGTTGAAATAACACATGTACCTAAATATATATTTTTGCATTTTGTTATGAATTTTAAAATGAAAGAGCTTTTAGTGCTTGCATTCGCCTATGTGCCTTTTTGTGCTGGCACAATACGTCCAAGCGATGCGTTGTCGGTAATGGCGGGTGAAGGTTTCACAGTATATTTAGAGTTGCCAAAGACGTTTGGAGCAGTAGAGAATTGTTGGTATAAATTTGAAGGTAGGAGAAATTTATCAGTTCCTTTTATTTCTATATTCTGAAATTTCGAATACTCTACATCTACTATCTACAGGTGATGCGAAAGTTAATATCGATTTGAAAAATTCCGTTGAAGCCATTCTAACGACACGTGGCGAAGAAGTGTTGCCCTTCTCCAACCACAGATGCGGCATACGTGTAAATAAGTTATCTTCTGAATCAGCTGGAATGTGGACGTTGGAAGCTGAAAATGCCTTTGGAGACTACGAACAAGGAGACTTGAAAGTATCCATACTTTCTATGCAGAAGAAATATCTAAATACCAGCGTCCAATTGGCCATTGGTGATGGCACCATTTCATGTACTCTACCTGCGTCAGCTACAACGCAATGTAAAATCATTGATTACAATAATAAAGACGAAGTTTGGAATTCATGCAATATTTACACGCATATTCGGCCGAATCGAACATTCGTTTGTTATACGCACAATTTGGGCAGTATGACACAAAGTATTGAGCACATAACTGTGCAAGCTAAGAATAGTAGCATGTATACGACGGCCACTGTAACGGAAGGAGATGACGAGGTAGTGATGCGCTGTCAGCTCAATAGCGTGGTGCAGGGTTGCCAGGTAGAAATGCCGGGACGTAGGAAGGAGTTATACATTATGGAGGGATTGTTTAATGGACGCTATTCGGCATATGATACACTGTGAGTATGTTTTTAACTTGCATGTCTGTGTTTTAGATTTTTTTTTTACACCAAAGCTTGAAAGTTTTCTACTTAGTTTCACTCGTAAAGTACATATAGTATATAACGATTCAGGGACTTAATTGCGTCCTCTCCAAATTGCCAGATGCGATAGCTGACATGTAACAAAACAAACGGAAATAACGCATACTGGTGCGAAATAAAGCTTTTTAAAAGCGAAATAAAATCCGTTGACATTAACAAACATTGAATTTGCTTAGCCTCGCGGCGGTCGGTGAAAGTGGAAACACTTACAAAAAAATCAAGTTACAAATGAAGAAAACCCATGGATAAGTAAAGAAGTGGTCAAATAAAAAAGCGCAAAGATTTTTTGTATTGAATACAAAACTTTATTATATTAAAATTTAATGATCTATAAAACTGCATACCAAAAATTTTTTTATAAAAACCAAAAACAAAAAAAATATTTTGCTGAACATTTTTTATAGCCTTAAATTTTTTTCTTTCGTTTTGGGATACCCTACAATTATTGTCAACTAGTTATTATTATGTAACATTTATTAACTGGAACAGGAGAATCGAGTTTCTACTAAATTGCTACTTTTTCTGCACTTCGCACTAACAAAAAAATTAATACAAACAAACACAATTTCAAAAATCGAGCTCTACTGGTCTCTTGCAAATTTTATTAGCTTTCTTTAAAAAAAGGTAAATTAAATTTTAGTATTTAATGATCTATATAACTGCATACCAAACATTTTTTTTTCATTGGCGAACATTTTTTATAAAACATTTAAATTTTATTCTCATCCTATTATTCCGATTCAACCAGTTTATGAGTGGATTTACTGGACCTCAGCTTCAGGTGCCAAATGTCTCATACTCATTCTTTGAGAGCATGTGCCTGAAGCCAACAGAGGTTCACACATTCGCAATGTCCGGAAAAAATTAAAAAAAAAAAATTTAATAAGTGGCTGTAGTGTATCAAGTGTGATATAAATTTTAGAGTAGTCCAGGGAGTTGGTCTCCTTCAGCAGGTACCGTTTTTTTTTTGATTTTGTAGCCGAAGCCTTTTCAAGATGGAAATACACTCGAAGGTTTACCATTACTTGCTGAGTACTGTTCGGCTGTTTGTGGTACCGGCTATCGAACTTAGGTTGAAGCAGGTGGTAGTGCACACCCGAATTGGTAAGATAAGGGTTAAGCTTAAACATCCGTATATCACTTGGGAACCGATAAAGAATTAATAACAGAATCAAAGCAAGGATTGGCGATTCGTCCAAAATTTTGAATACTCGAATGAGCTACTTGATTTAAATGAGTTTATCCGCCTTCTTGTTAATACACACATTCCTTGACATTGCAGGTATTCGAAGCAGCTGTGTGCGCTAGCAGTCCCAACGCCTCTAGCGGAGTCAGAGTTGGGTTTGTGGCGTATTTACAACACTGAAACAACACCTCCAACGGGTTGTCTTTTCTACATTGGAAAACCAAAGGACCAAATAATGGCTGACGAACTATTCGCTTCAAAGGAGGTAAAGCAAATACGTGCTTACGATGCAGATACTACCATAGAGCTATTTACCTGCGAAGTGCCCTTCATCATAGACGATTGCTATTTGCGCGATCCAAATAATACAGTTTACTTTCCGGATCCCATACGATTTGAGCGTACACGCACATACGGCCAATGTCACTTCATCAATATGCCAGTAATGGCTGGCAGCTGGGTATGTGGCGCGCGTGGACATGACTACGCTAAGGAAGTGTTGCAGAATTTCGAAGTTAGTACCCTCTCGATGTATCTTGATGATTTAAAAGTCGTTCCATTTGCTGCATTTTAGGTTGTAGTAAAACCAAAAGCCGGCGAAGTGCTCACTGAATCGTTGAAGCTGAAACAAGGCAAGACGGCCGAGCTGATGTGTCAGAGTGCTTTTGAGGAACCGCTTACACATTGCGCATTCATTGATCCTGAAGGTCGGGTACATTTGGTCGGCACAGCTAATAGCATTAAGACTGCGGGGTAATATTTCAATGCGCTATTAAATATTTACTAGCTTAATTCTAATACTACATGTTGTCCGTATGTTTCTTCGCTTGCAGCCACGTGAAGTACTACGGACGCGGCTTGCTGTGGGGTGAATGTGGCGCACAGATAAGTGAAACTAAAAGTGAGGATTTTGGCACGTGGAAATGTCAATTTGTCACCTATGCCGACAAACGCACATCGATATTTGCACTGCGCCTGCGTCAAACCGGTAGGCGGCCATACAAAAGAAAACTTTAAGGTTCTTCAAATGAGAAGCATTTTCCACTCATTTTGCTTTTCTTTCTTTTTATTAATTGCTTAATTTTTCCATAGTTATTCCTGCATCATCACTTGGACTTGGCATTGGTATAACGATTATAATTGTGCTGCTTTTGGGTTTATTGATAGCTACAGTATTCTATCGACGCCGCAATCTTACAGCGCAGCATAGTTTTACTTCAGCAGATCCAATAAATACGGTGTCGAGTAGCTCATTGGCAATGACAGCGATTGAGACTTTGGAGCAGCCAATTATCGAGCGATTGTAAGGATAAGGAATGTGTTATAGGAAACTCATTTGTTCTGTACTATTTTATATGAGTGGCCATACTTAGTTGATTTTGAAATTTATTGTTATTCAATTGTTTATCCGTTGTGTATAGGTTTATGTATGTATGTACTATATACGCACACATTGTTTGTGTTCATGACTTTGGTATTAAAATTTCTAAAATATGAAGTAATGGTTTTTGGAATTATTTAGTTACCGAAAACTTTTTGGAGCGAAATACATGCATACTATGTAGCTTACGGGGAGAGCTTGGCAATACTATTTAATTCCTTTATGAGTTGAGCAAATCATACCAGAACTTCTGATCATTGACGATCACATATGTAGATATTTTAATGTACACCAAGGCATATCAAACCGGTTAGCATTAGGGCAAAAACAACCTTTACGTGTATTTTGTTGTTGCTTCTAATATTTAAAAAGCTCTACCCAGAATTACACTGGACGATGGTAGAGCGGTCGACNAGACATAGATATTTTAGTGTACACCAAGGCATATCAAACCGGTTGTAGCATTAGGGCAAAAACAACCTTTACGTGTATTTTGTTGTTGCTTCTAATGTTTAAAAAGCTCTACCCAGAATTACACTGGACGATGGTAGAGCGGTCGACGGTTAACGGCTGTCAAAATTAAATTTACAAAGGTCTATGGAATGGCTCATAATTGCGGCGGCAGCGTTTTTACCGCCGGCGTTTTTCGGTTGATTTAAATTTATTTCTATTTTTACCGCCCAGCCAGATTTTGCTATTAGCCTTATTTTCATAAAATTTAAATACTACAGCGTGGCGACGAATAACTGTTACCCAGGTTTTTTCAGAAATAAAAGGGTCATTTATAGATTTTGCGAAAAAAGTATTTTATTGTTAATTTTCCACAGATTTTACTTTAAGCATTAATTAGTTTTTAAATTTAAATCCTTATTTACATTTGCCAGCAGTGTAAACTTTGAGATATTTGGATTTATTTGGTTTTTGTTAGGAAAGGAGCTTTACTTTCATAAGAAAATAATAAACAAAAGTCCTAATTTATATTTTGGTCATTGTATGTGTTCCTCACTTCGAATTCCAGGCATCTAGATTGGAAAATAATAACTGTTTATGAAGAAAATTGCAATCATATACCAACATCATTTAAAACTGGTTCATAGGCATGCCATTTTAATGAGCTGTTAAGGCGTCGAATGTTTTAAGTACCTAGTTTGACTCCCGTATTTTTATGTTTCATACATTTTTTTTACTAGCTAATTAAATGAGACCTTTCAAACAGCTAGCAGCCTTCTTCAAAAGTATTTTCAAGCTAAACTTTGTTAACTCTCCTTCTTACATTGCGATACATATTTTAATTAACTGATGAATTAAGCTGAATTTGGTTTTTTAAACATGTGGCAACCCCGCTAAATATAGTCCAGAAATAAAGAGTTTTCAAACCCCCTTCCATTGATATCCATATTTTAATAATTCATTTAACTTATTAAATAATTTAAATTTAACCTTTTAAGCAGGTGGCAACACCTAAAAAATATTCTCTGTTCAAACTAAAGACTTTTTAACATTCTTTCGTTGGACATCCATATTTTGATATTTCATATAACTTCGAAATTCTACATTTCGAGCAGGTGGCAACCTTCTTCAAAATATATTCAAACTATTACTTTCTGAAACCCCTTCCGTTTGACACCCATATGGTGATACATACATCTCTGACCTAATTCCCTTAATTCAAATTGAATTGGATTTTTCAAACAGGTGGCAACCTCAACATAGTTAAGTTAGGAAAGAAAGCTTTTCAAAACCATTTAGATGGATACCCATTTTGTAATAATTGATTTATTTTTTAAATGATTTGAATAACATTTTTAAAAAGGTGGCAACTGTTTTCAAAAAGTAAAACTTTACTCCACATCTGCAGACCAAGCCTTTGAATTTGAAACCTCATTTTGGAAAATTGAACGATCGGTGCGGATTGTTTATTAAATAATTTGAATTTAATTGTTAAACAGGTGGCCACTCTTTTCGAAAAAATAAAACCTGTTTGTAAATCTACAGGCAAAGCGCTTTAATTTTACACCCCATTTTTGGCTCCGAACGGCAAATATATTTTATGAGAAGCCTCCTCAAGACAGAAATACATTAGGAGGTTTGCCATTGCCTGCGGAGGGTCGACCGCTGTTAATAAAAAGTCCTGTTCTAATTTTTTTTTGTAATGTAGATAAGTTAACGGCCCTAAGTGTGATAAACCACGTACATGGCGTATGAGCAACATTATTTGCTGCTGATACTATTTTATAAAAAAAAAATCATTCCGACTTCAATTATTTAGATAATTTCTTACTCTATGGAAGGATATTCCAGCGATCTTGACACAATGAACGCGAATGATATTAGCAGCGATGCGCTAGTTGCCAATAATTTTTAATAAAATAAAAATAGTTCCTGTCAAATTGAGAGATAGAACATTTCGTTATTTTAATTGGAATAATTACCCGACCAAAACGATATATTTATAATTTATCGCTAATGGAATTGTTTCGACTTCAAGTGCTAAATTCACTAGAATTAAAAAAAGTAGAAAAAAGTATCAAAACTATTTACAAGATTATATTTACTCTTATTCACAAGCAATTTTTACTTATTTTTATTATTGTTTATGTATTATATGCAACATCTAGATCGAAAACGGTCGAAATTTGTTCTATAGGCGTGTAAGCGCATGCAAAGTATGTTCCAGCACAGTCTCCGCCACTTCGGCCCAGGCGCTCGGCATGTCCATATGCTCGGTCGTTAGGATGAACCAGTTCATCATGCGAACGGGAAGGCCTGCTCGTAACAAAAAAAAAATATATTTAGTTTTGAAAAAATAAAAAATAAAAATCCAAAACAAAAAAATAGTTTAAAATAAAAAAATGAAATGAGATAAAAAATTAAAAAAAAATAACATTTAATTAAATACAGGTAAGTGCGATACTAACTTATCACCTTTTGAATATTAAAGTTTTTTTTTTCGGCTAAAAACGCTTTAATTTCATTTCGATCGATACTTTTATTCCAATATTTTCCAAATTATTTCCAGTTTTTTCATGTCCGTTTAAGTTCCAAATTAACTCAGGAGCGTAAAGAGATTACATTTCCAAAATAGATTATTTCACAGAAACAGCCAGAAAAAATATAGATTTTCAAGGATTATATACCATTTAAACGAAATATTGTTTTCCTCGTATAAAATACACGTAAATCTTTAAGCGCTTTGAGAGACCTCTACATATTTTTGGACTAAAAAAAAATGTATATTTTTTTCGATATAGAACAGTCCTAGGTGGTGGGGTCATTACGATACCGACTTTACTTTATTTGAAACACCCTAATGTACCTACCTTTATAGATAACTATGTTAACACATACATAGCAGATTCTTACGTTAATATAATATGCAGTATCTCTGACAAAATCCCACTTTCATAGTGAAATGGCAACGCCGCGTGCTCACAAATGCTGCGTAGCATACACTCACGTCCCGAAAGACCGGCACTACACCGGCAAATAAAAAAAGAACACAAATTGAGTAAATAAATAAATGGTAAAAAATAAATAAAAAAAAATATCACACGCACCGATTCATCAGAGTCTCCATGCCTTTGTAGATAATCCAACGATAAGCAGATGCCGTCTTCTGTTTACCCTGCAAATTAGTACCAAAACTCTCGTGCCGCCGACCCAGTATACCAGACTGATGATGATGCTTCGCACTGACATTGTATGCATGCGCAGTTGTATAATTGTGCTCAACAATATCTCTAAAGCTGCGTCGATTTACATTTTGTGGCGTCAGATATTGTGGTCTCATTTCCTCTGCCTTGGTAGGCAGAAAATATTCAGCTTTTAATACGTAGCCAGAGGTGACCGATTCATAGAGTAAATCTTCAACGGGTATACCAATACCGCCAATGAACTAAGTTGAAAATGAAATTTGCACACAATGTAGATATGTACGAGGGTACATACATACATTCATAAAAATTTATGTAAGAATTTGTATTTTTAGATCACAAAACTACTTTGGTTACCACTTAAAACGTTATTGGTTTAGTTAATTTTTTGTTAGGAATATGTGGTTTTGCTTTGTGTTAGGCATTAAAGTGTGTTAAAATATGTAGGCAGTATTTATTTTTGCGTGGTTGTGTGTATATAATTGTGTATGTATGTTTGTTAAAAATTTTTAAACGGTTATTTTATTTAGCATCTACCGAGTTTAGCGCAATAGCGAACTGATAACCTCCTCCGTTTTTGGAAGTCGATTAAAAATATGAAACAGCCTCTAAACATTGAAAAATGGTGCCTCTGTCGCATAAATGGTGCAAAAATAAAAAAAAAAATCCATAAAAGTGCTCGATAAATGGAGAAATTTCCAGACTACGAATTTTATTTTATTTTTTTTAAACATGCATTAGTAGTTTAAGACAAAACTTGGAAAACGACGTATTTTTTGTGTTGCAGCCTTGGGTCATGGCGGCTCGCTATATAAATGTGTATTCAGTTAAGCAGTTAAGCAAGACTCATTAACTTATCGCTCATTTGTGCCTTTGCCCAGAAGGAAGAGGAGGACGAAGCATCCAAGGAACTCACATCGACGTACACCACTATCTTTTTGAAGCCAAGATACGCACCCACCTCTGCGCAGCAAAGAATCTGCGTCCAACAATGTAAGGAAATCTCAACGTCGAAAAGCTGCAGTTAATACAGACAGCCAAAGCATTCTATTTTCATACCTACTCTCAGAGAGCACTCTTCAACAAACCGACATAAATATGTGAGCAGTGGAGCCACATTACCCACTCATTACAAACCGCCGCCGACGAAGAAGTCGGATTACAGCGAGCCCGAACGAACCACTGGTATAATGGGGAATGTAAAAAGATTCCGCCTACAGGGCCACGCTGCAATCAGGCGCAACGCGAGCTACGCATGTGGGACTGCTATAGAGATGTGAAGAGGGAAGCGAAACGTATTTGCCGCAATAAGAAGAGTGAGGCCGAAATACGAAGAGCTTGAAATGCTGGCGGACAGGAAAAACTCCAGAAAATTTTTACCGGAGAGTTAGGTGAATTACGGAAGGTTCTAAAACCGGGGCGAACTCCCGTAAGAACAACCACGTGATCATCCTATTAATGGCAGCAGCACTGAAACAAGACGAACCCGAGCCCCCAGTCGATGATGGTGGTGTCGATGTCCCATCGCCTGATTATGACAAAAAAACTGCTGGAGCTGACGGCCTGACAGCTGAGCTGTTCAAGTACGGCCGTGAGGAGTTGATAAGGTGCATGCATCAACTCTTATCCAAAATGCTGCTCTGCTCAATCCACAAGACAGGCGTCCTCGCCATACGCGCCAGCTACCACGGGATGAGCCTTCTAAGTACAGGTAACAGGTCTTATCAAGTGTATTATGTGAAAGACTGAAGCCGACCGTGAACGAACTGATTGGACCAAATAAGTGTGGCTTCAGATCTTGCAAATCCACCATAGTTCAGGTATTCACAAAACGCCAAATTTGGGAAAAGGCCCGCGAGAATAGGATCGACACACACCATCTAAAAAGGCGTTTTCGACAGCTCGAAAAGGAGTTGTCTTTATGCCGCGATGTCTGAATTTGGTATCCCTTTGCGCGTTGGCGACGGCGAGGATCACAGACGATAGAGCAATGAGATGTATGGATGTTCGAATGGACACTAACGCTCCAGCTTTGAAAGTATTTAACTCGGAACCTGCTGGTCGTAGCAGAGGAAGAGGGAGCCTTGGCATTTCAAATTGGCATCAGTTGGCACAGAAGAGAAACTACGGGCTTGCTTTGTTGAACCCGGCCAAAATTGCTTACACGGTTACAGCGCCAAATAAGAGAGAATAATAATAATAAAATCATAATTTTTGATTAATGATACAGAGAGTAAATAATTCTGTGCAGCTTTAATCAGCAGTGAATAGTATTATTTGAATATCTGTAATGAGTTACATATACGAGTTCAAATATTGGACTAATGTCTCTTTAAGTCTTAATTTTGTAAAAAAAACTGGCTAGCGGGTAATAAATTACTTGAGGAAGAAAAGCCTTGCACGTCAACCGATTGAAATAGATGGAGACAAAAAAAAGAACAATAGACGAGTGCGAGAATTATCTATTAGATACAAAAAGACAAAAAAAAAGATTATGCCTTATACATATACATAACAGAAGCAGTTGCCTTAGCAAGTCTACTATGACACATGAGGATACAATATGGTGTACCTAGAGGCTTTGGGGCACTTAATGGTTTACCTAAAAAAATGTATTTTTCGTGAGGCATTATTGTTATTGTGGCACCCTGAATTTTTATTTATTGAAAGCTTAGATACATTTCCTTCAAATGTATGTTTGGGAAAGATTTGTAAAGTGATTATTGAGATAAAACATTTTATCATAAGTGGGTAGTGCCACAGCCCTTTAACCACATTTTTGAACGCTTAAGTAGAACTTTATTAGTCAATATTCAATAGTTTAGCTTCAGTAATTACTAAAAAAAAATTTAGTTTTTGCACCAAAATCTGTTAAAACCGGAGTTAATTAAGAGTCGAGTTTTTCCCATGAGTAAATCAGTACATAAAATTACATTTTCATTTTCTCTGACGAATATGTTAAATATAAATTTTGTTAGTCTGTGTGTTTTGTGATGGTGTAAATGCAAAGTTAATAAATTTTTTTTTTGGTATTCAAAATGTGTATAATAACTATTTGGAATCACAGCCTTGTTAATGATTTCACTCTAACTACGTTTGTTAATCAATACTTTGCACTATATCACTTGCGGTTATCTATTTTTTACTTTCCCAGGAAATTTTTGTTAATTAAACACAGTTAGTTGATTCGAATTGTGTTATGTATGTATGTATTTTTAGTCATGTTAAGTACCAATCTTTTGACATGAATCGTACTTTATGCAGTTTGTCAGTTCCTTACTTGTAGACGAGTTGGTGCTGTTTTGGGATATGTCAAAGTCCTAGGTTGTCTAAGTTTCCTTACAGTAAAATAACGGGTTGAAAGCACAAATTCAAGCAGGCACAGCAGCAGTAACCAAAATGCCAATAAAACCGTACTAAAAGCCATGTTTTCGAGAAGAGTTCACAATATGAAATGCCGTCAAATGTATTTAAGCAATATGTTTCGATGAAATCGCGCCGTTAACTGATCCCAAAATGTCAGTTCAAACGACATGTGTCTGGAAGTGACAGATCACACTTAACTGCGAAATCTATTCTACGTACAAACATACATACATACGTATGTACATAAGTGCCAGTAAATGTATTCGTGTATAATGTACATACTTACATACATATGTACATATGTATTTACGTTGATATTTATGCTTATTAGAAGAATTTGTTTAAACGATATTCTTGAGTAGCTACGAGTACTGAAGCGAAAGCCGTTAATCGACATGTGTGCAGGTATGTATGTATGTATATGTATATATATATACCCAAATATTGTTATGGTTCAAATATTTTGCTTAATTGCGCCTCTTAAATTCTATAAGAATTTTTCCGCAATAAAAGCCGCGTGTATGTATAAATGGGTCAAATAGGCCTACTGTAGGCTTATTCGGTTATTTGTTTAACGGCAGTTTAAGCGCGCAGACGATACGCTTTGATTTTGTTTACAAGAGATCTGTTGAGCACAATTTTTTTATATTTGTTTATCATAAATTTTTGAGTGCAAAGTGCAGAGAAAGTAGCAATTGTGAAGAAAATCGATTTCCTTGTTTCAGTTAATAAATGCAGCATAACAAAAACTAGTTTAAAACCGTTAAAGGTTTCCGGGCTAACAACTCGTGTTGATTTTGAATAATCTTTTGTTGACAATGTTAGACAATTTCTTTCATATAAGTAAGCTAAACAAACAAAAATTTAAAATTCAACGTGAGTTATTGGCCACTTGAAACATGCTTTTTACTTAATGTCTTATAATACTGCATACATACAATTTTTCTAAAAAAAAAAAAAAAATATCAATTTTCGTAAAATTTTTTTTTTTCACATTTAAAATTTGTCTAGTGAAATTTTATTTCCGTTTTTGGGGAACCCTACAATTGTTTTCAACTAGTGTTTATTATATAAAATTTGTATATTAACTGAAATAGTGGAATTGACTTTCCTCAAAATAGATCCGCTCTTTGCATTAAAAGAAAATTTATATAAACAAATAAAAATTAAAGACTCGCGTTCAAAAGGTCCCTTGTAAATTTCATAAGCTTTTATCAAAAAAATGAATCAAATTGGTTGAAAAATGAGGGCTCTGGAGGATTATGTATAGTAAATTCCAGTTTCAAACCGCTGTGTGACATAGAGCCTTTTAAGACTGTCATCATCATCATGCAGCATGAAACCGGTATTTTTGAACGAGAGAGGGAAGGAAGTGAAAGCTATTTTGATGCAGCCGGTACTCTGGGAGAGGCCCTATTTAAAATTTACACACATCACTGTTGACAGTTATAATTTCGAGAAAGTTTAGAATTTCATTCACTTGGGAGCCACCATTAACACCGATGATAATGTCAGCATCGAAATCCAACTCAGAATCACTCTTGCCAACAAATGCTACTTTGCACTGAGTAGGCAAGTCCTCTCTCGACGTACGAAAACCTTACTCTATAAGTCACTCATCATGCATGTGTTGGTATATGAAGCAGAAACATGGACAATGACAACATCCGATGAGGCGACTCTTGGAGAGATTGGAAAGATTTTGCGGGAGATTTACGGGCCTTAACCAGGCCTGCCAACTTGTCTCAAACCCTATTTTACTTCAAATGTTAATGCCGAACAATGTTTTAGGCAGGCGACTAACTGTTTATCTAATATTGTAATACGAGCTGCCAATCTGAACCGCAGCAGTACCATACATACAACAAATACAGGATGCTGCTGGCGTACGGAGAAGCAACCAGTTGATTGTTTTCCCAGCAGGGTATATCTAAATTTGTATGTACATACAGCACATGAGAGCCTTGCTTGCTTCTATCTATTTATGGTTGTTGCATTGCACTAATACTAGTTACGTATGTATATGTTTGTGAGCGGGTAGGCATACATATGCCTCCATAGTATGCAGTGTAAGGCAAGACAACAACTTCTGGAAACTTGACGATGTTTATTTTGGCTTTTGTCTAAACATCTGAACATCTACAATGTCTTTCTACTATAAAATGTACGCATGCGTTTGTGCATAAATAGTTCCTACACTGCCATGCGAATGTGTAAATATTTAAAAGCACTTTGTCGTTGCATTCACTTGCTGACTGCCTTAAATCTGATGCATGAGGCATGCAACATGTGAGTCATATGCCAGAGTGTGGCATCCTGCATAGCTGTGTACACTTTCTTTTCAACAACAAAGGACGACGGACTTGATTCAATTGCGTTTACTTGCTGTGCCAGGAATGTGATGGCGTTTTTTACGTGTGTTTGAATGTTTAAAAGGACTGATTGTGTGCATGTGGCAATTGCTAAGCAGATAATAAACTGACTCAGTACGGCGGTTGACTCGCTTAGCTGCCACAATGGTTCGCTTCGCCGTATCGTTTCGTTTCGGCTTAGCTGGTGAAACGCAAACGCTTTGGGATTATGCGAGCAGAGTGCAGCTAATAAAATATGCTAAGTTTACACATTTTCTTAGTGTGTCATAAGAAATTTATATCAGTGAATATTTTGTTGGCGGACGTTCCGATGCGTACTTGCATGTATGTACAGAGTATATGTTTATGTTCATATGTGTGATGAGAGTAAGTCATACATCAGGCAAGTAACTAGATCGAATAAAAGGCTATAGACATAATAGAAAGGACCAGAGAGGACGATGGGAGGATAACAAGTGTTGGTCGGTGGTTATATGTTTGTATGAAAATGTGGACGACTGCTGCTATGTGGTGAAAGGAAATGAAGTTAAAGCCCCTTTTTATACATACAAAAACCGACTTTTATTGATACTTTTTCGTATCAATGATCAAAACTAAATAAGAGTCTTTTTGTTTTGAATAACAAAATTGATATCACTTAAGCCTTTTAAATATTGCAGCGACCAGCTTTTACGCAACTTTTTAAGCAAGATTGATGAAAGATGCACATGAGCTAATCTCACGAGTTGTTATATTTTCGACAAAAACGCGAAATTGTATTTAAATGAAAACTTAAAAAAGATATACTAACAGGCCTATTCTGCATTGGTAACAAAAATTTTGTTACCGGCTAGTAAAGTTCCTGTCAATTTTTAAACCCTTTTCGTATTCTCCACACTCATGTAACCGGTAAATTTTGTTACCATCTCATGAGCAGGTAACAAAATATTGCCCCGTGAAATATGCAACACCAGAATTTACACAAAACTCCATAGCTGAATTGCCGAATAAATTAAAACGTTACCAAGGTAAATAGAATTGCGGTTACAAGAAGTGGTAACAATTGTTGGTAACAAAATTAGCTTGTTACAAAATGTTCGGTTTCAAGCAGAATAGGCCTGTAAAAAAGTAAAAATAACAACTCGTGCTCATATACCTGTAGTTGCGTATACGGCCCGTAGCGCTATAAGCAGCCATCTACCACGTTTACCCGTGCACGTTAATTTAAATATCATTTTATTTGAAATTAGTTAGTTAAATCCATTGCCTCGAAAATGAACATTCTATTTGAAAACTTTCCAAAGTTATTAAAAAAAAAACAATTCTGAATTTTTCGAGCGACAATGAAAAAATGAGAAATTTCGGTACTTTTTCGCATAAACAAACGTTTTAAGGCTAAAAGTATTCAAATACTTGACTTATAAATATTCTACTTGCTTCTGGAAATCCATTGATTGAAATATATGAAGAAAAATGCTTTAGCGTGACACTAAAAAAAAAACAACTCGTGAGATTTTCTCATATGCGTGTAACAGTGTAACGTTATTTAAAATACTGTTTGATTTTAAATCCGCTATTAGTTAGGAAATGTATTTGCTTTGAGATTTGATTAATCGACCAAATTAAAAATAAAATATATTTCTAATTTGATTCATCGGAAAAATATAAAGTAAAATTGATTGTGAACCAAATAAAAGCTGAATTTTATTTTCTCGAAAATCGTGCTTACATAAAAAGATGCTTATAGTTGGAAAATCACGAATAAAATTCATTTGCTCGACGACTCACGAATAAAATTAATTTTTTATTTGGTCAATGCATTACAAATAAAATTTATTCATCGAACAAATAAAAAATCTATATCATTTAGGATTTATACTATCTATCAATTCAACAATAATTTTATTTTTGGATTAGGGTTTGACTAATTAAAAATCACACAACCCTGGAAATGTGAATGGGCTATAGAACCGCACACAAAATTTGAAGAAATTAGATTCTTTTGGTGAAAATTAGTTGAATTTTTAGAATTCCTGTCACGAAATTTGAAATTCGTTTTATGTGGTATTTAATGTAAAACTAGCTAGACTTTTATAGCAAAATATCAAATCAAAATGAGCCGAGTCTATTATTTCTGCCACCACGTTTAGGAACATTTTTACAGTTACAAAAACTTTTGAACGGTCTTTCAAGTTCTATAGCTCAATTTGACAGAAGAACCATTTCAAAGATTAAAAATATTGAAGATAGTTTTGGATGATTTCAGATATGGTTTTTCATATAAGATTAGAACTGTAAACTTTGAGGTGACATAAAATGAAAAAAATTACTGATACAAATAACTATTTGGTAAAATACGACATTCTTATTTTTCATAACCTGTCAGAAAAATACTATGAGACCCAGGGTTTAAATTTTTTTTCACTTTGTTGCACTTTTTTATTAAACAGAGTGGGGTTTGAACTCTTTTTGAATACGGGTTTTATTTGCAATAAATCCAAGAATAGAGCGTTCATAATTCAAACTTATAATGCTCTGGATTTGGTATTCTATCTTATTCAAAAGCATTCATTTTCTTTGGGCTTGCATGGCAAAATGGTAATTAACAAACAAATTCTTTCGTGTTGATTTTCAAACACCTTGAAAATTGTTCTTAATTATTTCTTTTTCGTGTATCCACATAAATATGTAAAAAGAACGACCATTATTGAAAATCGCTCTACTTCTTGCCTAACTGTCACCATTTTACGCCTGATCTCTCGATAGAATCACTGGAATTTCTCTCGTTAATTTAGCTTTTTTAGTTGTGAATGCGTTAAGGAGATTG